ATCAATACTAAATGTAAAAAGATTTATAATACTAAGTATTAGTGAGAATGTGGAACATACTGTGGAAAATGTGGGAAATCTCACATACTGCTAGTGGGTGTGTAAATTAGTACATCAATTTGGAATACAATTTGGAACTAACAAAGCTGAATATAGGCACATCTTGTGAGCCAACAATTCCAGTAAAATGTATGTGCATTTGCATCTAATATACAAAAATGTCCATAAAAGTACTTTAACAGTCCTCAATTATGCTAACAATAAAATACTAATGGAATGAATTAACTATAATAGTCCTCAATTATGCTAACAATAAAATACTAATGGAATGAATTAACTATAACTCTATGCAACAACATGGATGAATCTCATTAACATAATGTTGGGTCAAAAAAGACACACAAAAGAATACTATGGTGATATTCATATTAAATTTAAAAGTAAACAAAACCAGATTATAGTGTTAAGGTATACATATTCATTGGCTAAAACTCTACAGATATGAAAGACTGATTAAAATTTAGGAAATTTGTGATCTTTGGGGGGAAAAAGAGGATTTGAGAAAGACATGTAATCTGCTTCTAGTTGCTGACAATATTCACTTTCTTGATCTGGGTAGTGATTAGGCAAATATTCACTATATAGCAACTCATTAACATATACATTTAGGCAACCCTGTTGGGTCCCCTGTGGAAGCTGTTCTGTCTTCTCAATAAATCCTGCTTTCTCAACAACAACAACAACAAAAAGTACATTTATGCTGTCTGCACTTTCCCCATATATTTCTTTCTTTCTTTTTTTTTTTTGAGTGGGAGTCTCACTCTGTTGTCCAGGCTGGAGTGCAATGGCATGCTCACAGACACTCCAGCATCGATCTGCTGGGCTCAGGTGATCCTTCCGCCTCAGCTTGCAAGTATCTGGAACTACAGGTGCGTGCTACCACACCTGGCTAATTTTTTTATTTACTGTAGAGATGAGGTCTCACCAAGTTGCCCAGGCTGGTCTCGAATCCGTGGGCTCAGGCAATCCTCTCACCACAGCCTCCCAAAGTGCTGGGATTATAGGCCTGAGCCACAGTGCTGGACCTCTCCCATATATTTCATGATAAAAGAGCTAAAACTAGGGTGTGTTGGAATTCAGCAACAATATCCCCAAGTATGGAGCTTTGGTATGCTGAGTACTTTGAACTAAAGGAGATTCCAGTGAAGTCTCTCTGACCTCTTGCTCCTCTTTTCCCCCAAAGTGAGTCATAGAAACCAGAATTCCTCTTCCCCAAGGTGGGTCATTGAAAGTAGAACTCCTCTTTCCCAAAGCAAGTCATAAAATTTAGAAAGGTTACCTTCTCTCCTCTCCCTTGGAGACCCTCTTCAGACGGGTTTAAGTGCTTATGTTACAGCTGGGTACCTAATCTGCCAAAAGCAGAGACTAACACTGAGTCCCTAATATGGCATCATTCCTCAAAGGGACAAGTCAGCTACCTGAAGGCAAGTTATTTAAACTGGACCTCTTCTACCTAGAAGGAGACAGATACCAGTCTTCATTAGAATAGACTTATTCTTAAAACAGCAACTCCAAGTACTCTTAAAAAAAATAAAATGGACATGTATTCTGGAAATTATTTTTAAAATGTATTTGCCTGATGATGTTTCTGCCAGTATCATTATCCATGGACTTACAAAAATATTTTATTTACCGTCTTGACAAGCTAGACAGCATTGTTTTCTCAAGCATGTTATTATGCCAAATACAGTGGCTCACACCTATTAACTCCAGCACTTTGGGAGGCTAAAGCAGGAGGAATGCTTGAGACCAGGAGTTTGAGGCAACATAGCAAGACCTTGTCTCTACAAAACATGAAAAATTAGCCTGGTATGGTGGTGCATGCCTGTAGTCTTAGCTATTTGGGAGGATAAGGCAGGAAGATTGCCTGAACCAAGGAGGTCAAGGCTGCAGTGAACTGTGATCATGCCACTGCACTCCAGCCTGGGTGACAGAGTGGAAACCCCCAACTCAAAAAGAAAAAAAAAAAAGAAAAATTCATTTTTCAACAGAAGTATAGCAGTGGTTTCTGTCTCCCTCAACAGTCAAAGTACAAGGGTCTCGTATTCAAGTCATGAAAATAGGAGTGGCTCTTCTCACTGCTATTCCTAATAATTCATTTTTGCTTTCCCTCCCCAAAACACTGATCCCTGCTTGTTTGGAATCTTAGTTCCCAAAAGTGCAGTGCTTCTACCAGGAAACATAACAATGATTCCAGTAAATCAGAGAGACCTGGCCATTGAACCAGGTGGAAAGGTGGATATTCCACCAGAGCAAGTGACTAATTCCAATTATCAAAAGCAAAATGGGTTATACACACAATGCAGGCTAAAGGGACTATATGTAGACCAGAAGTTTTTCTCAGGCTCCTTATGGTAATTCAATGTCCACTATTAAAGGCTAATGGAAAGCTACAGCAACCAAAATATAGGCAGACCAACTGAGAACCTTCTAAATGAAGGTTTTGCTCCTACCACGAGGGAAGGAACCCAGAACAGCTGAAGTTTCAGCTGAGGGAATAAATATTGAATGGGTAGTGATAGAAGAAGGCCAGGGATATCAATTATAGCCTCATGACCGGTTATAGAAACAAGGACTGTAATAGCTTTTCATATTTTCCCTTTGCTTATTGTATATCAGTAGTGTATTTGTATCTTAACCACTTTCTTCTTTTTCATATTTCTTTTATATAAAGTTGTTGAAGGTAAACTTTATAAGGGAGTCTTTAGTTCAAAGAATAGCCAGAGACACTATGATGGGATATATAATTAATACAGTTAACTATGATTGTTAGGACTGTGCATCTCCTTATTTGGGGGAGAGAACTTCTTCACTTATATAAAGGTTAGCTGCATCTTGTTAGGTGAACAGAGTTGTTTTGCTGAACAGAGCTTCAAATGTGTTTAGAAGCATTCAAATGGAAGCTTACTAGCTAAGTGGGGACTGTGACAGTTATTTATTGCCGCTCAACTTCAAATGTATTAGTTCTCAGCTTCAAATTTATCCTTCATTGCCCTACTTTGTGATAAGGAATGTGTCTGTCAGTATAGGGTGCTATAGGGACACTGCAGCACAAAAGTGTTCACTCTGCAATTGGGAGGTTTCCTGTCCCTATCCCCAGCCTTAGGGCCCATCTGCACCATGGCAGGGAGTTCCCCTGCTTGCCATTCCTGGTCAGCGGTACCCTTCCTGCCATTCTTGACCAAATGGTTATAGACCACTTCTGGCATAGAATACATGTTGGGCTGCAACGAACATATTCTCCAACAAAGTCTAAATTAAAATCAGGACTAAGGGGTTCTCCTTTTAAATTTGTTCTTTCCTTGGGAACTCTCCTTCAGCTGTAGGGTATTCTCCTTTATTCTCTGTAGCTAATCCCATGAAATAGTTCATTTTTTAAATTAAACTGTTCCTGTTCATATTATTGTGTGGCTTCTGTCTCCTGACTAAAGAAGCAAAAAGTTATTTGATGCTTAATATATGCAGTAAGCATTATTCTAGGTAATTTATTTCTATTAACTCATTAATCTTAACAATCACACTTAACCTATTACAAATATCTTTTATACAAGAAAATACAAATACTCATAATTCTCTGAAATAAAGATTAAATAAACTTCTATAATCATGTTTGCTGCAGAGTTCATAATGGTTACATTAATGTATACTATTGCTTTTTAAAAACTCATACATTCCTATTAATTATTTAAAATGTTAAACTTCATTATCTTTGATCACAACCTCACAGTGAATTATTATAGCTGACTAAGGATTACACAGCTTATTCTGTCTCAGTGGGTAACAATACAAATTCATTAATGTGAGTTTCACAAATACAGGGAAAAGGAACAACAACCAAAAGGCTTTAAAAAACCAAGAAGTATTATTTTATTTGTAAATACAGTCAGCCATATTTTTATCCTACTAATCCAGAAGCAGAGATTTCACTTAACCAAAGGCCAATGGTGTAAAGTTTCAGGACTCAAGACATGACTTTAAAAATGGCATCTAAATTGAGATGTTTCATATCCTGATATTTAAACTTAATAGTTATGTCACTAAATTAACGTAACTACAATCCGAAGTCTTACTTAAAAAGCCTTGGAGTCTCTTCTCAACATCACAGGGGAAAAGTCACTAAGAAACTACGTTTTTATGTAATCCAAATATAATTTGAAGTCCCAAATTCGTAAGAATTGCTAACATAATTCCACATTTGACCATCTTTCCAACAACTTTTCTTTTACCTAATAATTATGATAACAATTACTTTTAATAGCCAGGCACTGATCTAAGAGCTTTATATAGATTAATTCATTTATTTCTCAGAACTAACATATGAAACAGGTTCTATTATTATCCTTATTTTACAAGGGAGGAAAGGGAGACACAAAAAGATTAAGCAATCTGTCCAAGAAGTGATAAAGCAAGGATATGAACTCATACAGTCTGGCTATAGAGTGTGAACCCTTCCAGACTTCTGTGAGAGCTTTTAGTAGCTTGCTAAAACTTCATAATGATACTTAAATATGTACTAATATCTCTGTTTTACAGAGAAGAAAACTAAAATGTGTCCAAGTCACATTATTAGTAAGTGATGAAATCAAGATTCTAACCTAGTTTGTCTTATGATATACTAACTCTCTATAACCAATAATAGCACTGAATAAAAAGAAAATCAGATAAATTAGATAAAATCTCACAAAACCAAGGTTCAAATAGGAAGATACTATGTCATGGTATATAAACTTAAAGATTATACCCTCACAAATATGAATAATTAGTTGATTCATTCCTGTCAAGTATTTCTGATGGTACCAACAAGAAAAGATATTTTTAAAAATGCTATCACCTACTGAGAGAAGATACACATCCTACACAAAATAGTTTAACAGAAAAAATAAATAATTGTAATGTTAACTTTGCCTGCCATATACACTAAGCAGCAGATGTAAACATACCTGCAAGGAGGTAAAACCATGGAGTCTTTCACAAGCACAGATCCAGAAAGCAGGATATACCAACATCTGGCAATAGTTTCTGAACTGTTTAAATAAATAAATAAACGAATGAATAAACACACATGTCCACACATATATGGATTCAATATGAAATATATCCTGATAATATTTTAAATCACGAAAAATTAACACTACTTGGAAATTTTGTCTTTGCCAAAGGTTTTTTTTTTTTTTTTTTTAGTTCGAGTCTCATTCCGTTACCCAGACTGGAGTGCAGTGGCACGTTCCCAGCCACCGCAGCCTCGACCTGCTGGGCTCCAGCGATCCTTCTGCTTCAGCCTTCCCAGTAACCGGAATTGCAGGCATGCGCTACCATGCCTGGCTAATTTTTGATTTATTGTAGAGATGAGGTCTCGCCGAGTTGCACGGTGCGGGTCTCGAAACCGCGGGCTCAGGCAATCCACTCAACTTGGCCTCCTAGAGTGCTGGGATTACAGGCTGAGCCACCGAGCCCAGCTGCCTACGGTTTTATATAAGCCATGCCCACAGAGAAAAAGATGCAGAATCACTATCTTAAGATTTAGATTTCAGAAATATATGTTTATTACATCTATTTTATGAGTTATAATATTAATTTCATGTTCTTCACTTTTGTGTACTGGATCAACACACCTGATGAAGATTAACTTAAATGTTGTACTATATTTGCATATTAGAAAATATTCATTCAGACAACTCTATTTATGTATATTAAAGACAGTATTATCTGAATTCAACATTTTTTTATCAATGTTTTATCTTAATTTTCAACTATAATTTGGATCATAATGACATTTCTTTTAAATTTTATTATGACAGTCACAAATAAAATATCTACTCAATCTTTCTCTGCTTCTTTCAGGTATCTTTATCCACTACATCTAAAGTTTCAATTAATCACAATGCATAGAAGATTCTAATATTTATAAACCAAATCTTTCCTCTGGTTGCAGAACTACATCTGGCTATATCTGGCTGCCTACTTGACGTGTCAACTTGTATATTTAAAAAAGAACTCGGCTGGGCATGGTGGCTCAAGCCTCCAATCCCAGCACTTTGGCAAGTCGAGGTGAGGGGATTGTCTGAGCCCACAAGTTTGAGAACAGCCTGGGCAACTTGGCAATACCTCATCTCTACAATAAATAAAAAATTGCCGGGCTCGGTGGCTCAGCCTGTAATCCTGTGCCTCTGAGAGGCTGAGGTGAGTGGATTGCCTGAGCCCACGGGTTTGAGACCCGCTTGGGCAGGCAAGACCTCATCTCTACAATAAATCAAAAAATTAGCTGGGCGAGGTAGTGCGTGCCTGTAATTCCGGCTACTCAGAAGGCTAAGGCGGAAGGATCACTGGAGCCCAGCAAGAAGAGGCTGCAGTGGCCGGAAGCAGCCACTGCACTCCAGTTTGGGCGACAGAGTGAGACTCCAACTCAAAAATAAAAATAAAAATAAAAATAAAATAAAATAAAATAAAGTAGCTAGGTGTGGTAGCGCATGCCTGTAGTTCCTGCTACATGGAAGGCTGAGGCAGAAAGATCGTCTGAGTCTAGCAGGTTGACGCTGGGGTGGCCATGAGCGTGCCACTGCACTCCAGCCTGGGCAATAGAGTGAGACTCCAACTCAAAAAAACAAAACAAAACAAAACAAAAACCCCTTGTACAGATAAATGAGAAAGCATTAAAATTATAATATTAAAAAAGACAACCCAAACTCAACAGTTGAAAGTCTACCCTATCATTTCCTTCAAGCTTGCATCATTTTTTGTATTCTCTCTTCTCAATGAATAACCATGCTATTCTCCTTCTAGAAGCCTAAGTCCACTCTCCAAATCATTCCACACTGCACGCCTCATTGAAATGCCTTAGCACCTTTGTCAAAAACAAACTCTTCAAAAACATAAGGATTTACTTCTGAACTCTTAATTCTGTCTCATTGATCTGTAATCTACACTTTTTCCTGATTGTACTTAAATACATGTAACTCATTTAATTTTAATTAACTTTCTCTCCCCTACTACATGATAAAATAAATAAGGGCAAATATTGTATCTTTCTTCCCACTATTTTATCCCCAAGATAAAAATAATATATAGTGTTTAATAATAAGTAAGCCAACAAATAAGTGAATACAGCTAAGTCCCCTACATACAAACCTTCAAGCTGCAAAATTTCCAAGATGCAAACATCTTGATGCCAACTACTATATGCCAGTCGTTGTATTGTACTGTACTACTGTACTTTTCAAGGTACAGTAGTATACTATAAGATTAAAAATGTTTTATTTTTTGTTTTAGTGTATTATTTGTATGAAAAGAATCATGAACCTACTACATGACAGTACAGTACTAAATAGCCAACTGTGTTAGTTGGGTACCTAGGTTAACTTTGTTGGACTTAGAAACAAATTAGACTTCTGAGCACATTCTTGGAAAGGAACTTGTTCAAAGATAGGGGACTTATTGCACACTATTAAAATCCATACAAATCCAAATACTTTAGAAATAATGATAAATGCAATGTGCAGGTAATGAAATATGAAAATCATTATAATTTCTAAGTGTCAGTTGAACCTATAGAATAAAAGATGTCACAGACACAGGAGTAGACAAAAATATAAAAAGGATTAAGGAATATACTTGAAATTTCTAGTATTTTTAAAAATACATGCAATAAAAAATCTCAAATAACCCTCCAAAAACAATAAAGTCTTACTGAAAGATTTAAAGTTGATATTAGCAATAATATCTATTTTACAATAGTCTTTCTAGCCACTCAACGTCTTTTACAGATTTAACTTATACCCAAATAGAACTCAACACAAATATTCTAAAACAAAAATAGAAAAAAAAAACTAAAAACATGAGTGGATATATAAAAGAATATTTTGAAAAGAAAAGAGTTATTTTAAATCTAGTCCTACTCACTATAAAGCACCAATACTTAAATGAGTAAAGGACCTTAAAATTTAAACAAAATACATTTTAGCAAAAAAATTTTATACTGTTCCTTGAAATAAACATGTTTAATTAAAGCTTTAATTGAGTTAAGAAGGTACTCTAGTAAAGAAACATATTTCCTGAAAAAAAGGAAACAAAAGATTACATACTGTACAAGAAAATAATATTAAATTCTGAAGCATATTAGCCAATAAAAGTAAAAACTAGAATACAATTATTAATGAAATGAACAAAATTCTCTGATGTAATACAATAAAGGTTAACACCTGTAATAGGTACTACTACACAGGTAAATGCATTGATACTGCAAGTAGTAACTGAGCAATAGATAAAAGATGGTACACAGAACACAGAGGGAAAAAAAATCTTTGCATCACAAGTAAACAGAAAATGCAAATGGAAACTACACTAAAATACTTTTAAAAAATCCTCACAAATTAGCCCATGTTACAGAGGCTATGATACGAATTATGCTTATTCATTGTTACCAATACTGCAAATCAAAATCAGCATAATCTTTTTTCCAAATAAACATAGTAATACTCAGCACAAGCCATAAAGACATTACATCCTTGTTATCCCAAGGAATTAATCATAGAGAAATCATTGCTATCTCTGCCTAACAGAATTTCAGATGAGTTAGACAATCACTGCATATCTAGTATTAAAGGAAACCTAAATATCCAGTAATATCGGAGTAATTTAACAAGTCAGGGTGTAATCAATATCATACAAGCACTAAAAATACAATTGAATAAGGAGACACATATAAATAGAAATGCATATAAAGGAGCAAAGTAGAACACATATCATAGGAATATATGAATGTACATGAAAGGCATGACACAAAACAAAGAAAAAGAAAAAAGCGTGATAGGACTGGGATTAAGGGTGAATTATTAACTTTCTGTTCAGATGAAAAAAGCTGTTAAAAAGTCTCTCCGGCAACAATTCTCAAGAATGGAGAGAAGGAAGGTGAAGAAGCAAATGCTGATCCCCCCCCCGCCGGGAACACTGATGCTATTTTGATAAAATCTGACTTTTGAAATTTTTCACTTCGAATAGGACCATATTTTCTTAAAGGCATATGTCATTCGCTAGGACGAACCAGTGAAAACCATGGATATCAATATCCTAATGTAGAGAGCCTACTTGTGGAGAACAAAATATTATCTTTATAATCAAAAACCTCTTCATAACATTTGCATTTATATATGTGATTTAAAATTTCACATAACTTTGCAGTCTGAATAAATCTTTAATAGCTTGATTTAAATAATTCTAACTTAAAGCCACTTAAAGCCATATTAAAAGACTTGTGCTTTAAGACTGAATAAATTTAATTTATAAAAACACTAAGCATAAATTGTCTGATGCTACATAATCTTTCTATACAACTTAATTACTTTTTTTTTTTAGTTAAGAGTCTCACTGTCACCCAGGCTGGAGTGGAGTGGCATGCTCATGGTCACCACAGCCTTGACCTGCTGGGCTCAGGTGATCCTTCTACCTCAGCCTTCAAAGTAGCTGGAACCACAAATGCACACCACCACACCCAGCTAAATTTTTAGATTTATTGTAAAGACAAGGTCTCGTCAAGTTGTCCAGGCTGGTCTCGAACCCCTGGGCTCAGGCAATCCTCTCACTTCTGCCTCTCAAAGTGCTGGGATTACAGGTATTGAGCCACCACGCCCAGCTACAATTTAATTACTTTTACCAAATGTTCCATCTTTTCAGATTTCCCCATATTCAGTACTCACTTGACAGAAGTTAACACTAAAATATCATATTGGACAGTAAAATTCTAATTACCTTTCTTCAAATTTATATTCATTGAGTCTTCCAAGCCTATAATAACCAGGTACAGTTTAGAGACTATACTTTCTGATTAAGAAAAATGTTCCGAGACCTCATCTCTACAATAAATAAAAAATCAGCCGGGTGTGGTAGCGTGCGGCTATAGTTCCAGCTCCTTGGAAGGCTGAGGCGGGAGGATCGCCGGAGCCCAGCGGGTCGAGGATGCGGTGGCCGGGAGCGGCCACTGCACTCCAGCCTGGGCCACAGAGTGAGACTTCGACTCAAAAAAAAAAAAAAG